TTTATATTACTTATTGAACTTTTGCTTAAATTATTTTTAAATAACTTATTAAACTTTCGCTTGGATTTTTTTTATATAGTTTACTCGAAAAAATCGCTAGGTTTAATTGTTCTTTCACATATAATAAGATATTGATTCAGTTCTATGGCTTGTATTAATTCGAATAGTTTGTCATTTTATTTATCCAGAACTTTAGTAATAGCCTTATTTGCGCTAGTTGAGTATTCGTTCATAAGTGTCTTTAGAAGATTATTTATTTGTTTAATTTGACATTGTCAATGTGAAATTTTAGGCATGTTAAGCATTAAAATAATTTATAATAAGGAAGATCATATAAATAAGTGTATTCGAATTTAAAATATTTTATCAAAATAAGATTTACGAAGTTTAATTCTGAAAACCCTTAATAAGACAGGCTGGATGATAAAAGAAAATGCGGGCGCCGAATAACTTTTTCCTATTATGACCAGGGATGGCATGTTATGATATTGGACATAGTAAATTTTTTTATTCCCGCTTTTTATTTATACTTCTATGTTATTCCTTCTCATTGTCCCGATTCTGATTTGGGCTGATCCGGAATTTTTATAATTCTTTTTGATTATATAACTTTTTTACTTTTTTTATGATATACGAAATTTTTTTAAACTATTAGAGTTACTAACAAAAAGTAAAAGTTGCTAGCTAAAAAAAAAATATAAAAAAAATATAAAATAAAAATAAATAAAAATAAATCGAAAGAAGTTTTGTGATCTGTAGTAAACTAGACTTTATGAAATACGTAAATTTACATTAAAGAAATAATATAGAAGTATAATAGAACCTGAGAATAAATCAGGTATTATCCGATCATCTGATCTGGAATTGATTCTTGGTTATTGCCCACTTCGTGGACAATAACATACAGTATATATCAATTATATAAATAATTAGAACTTCGAACATATCCTACTAGCGCATCCATTCCTGGTTTATTTATTAATTACTCTATACGTTAGAATAAACTATATATAATTTACTATTAACAAAAATATAAACTAGAATCAATAAATGTTGTAAATAATAAAACAACAATGATTAGAAGTCAAGATACGGTTGAACTTATTGGCATGCTCTGATTTGGAGTTAAGGTTTGAGGTGACAAAAATTAGGTGTTAGAAAAATGGTTGTCAAGAAAATCATATAAAAAAATAATATAAAACTATATAATTTCAATTAATGCTAATCAATTCTTAAAAGAACATGTTTAAACGTCAATAATTTAATAATAGAAAATAATGCCTGAGAAAATTTTAAAGTGTAATGATATGTATTTGATAGGAATTTAAGCACTTTGCTGGAATGAATTTTTTATATTAATTTATTCAGTTTAAGTTCCGAGATTACAATCATTAAAATTAGGTATTCAACATGTTTCTAGAAAGCTTATATCGTTTTTCTCGATATATAAATGCTCTTTCCTCTTCTTTTTTTATATCTTGTAAATATTGACCGATATACGGCATGCTATATAATTGTTGTTCAAGTCTAGATACGTCTTCAGAAGAGAGCGAGCAGGAGAGGGTTCATTGTTTCCAATTTTCTTTTTAATTATTTTCATCTTTTCATAATATTTTCTTTTTGTTTCTTCTAATCCTTTAAGTATTTCATTATTGTAGCGTTTGGAAGTGTTATTAATCTTCTCTCTTTCAAGATGTATGATATAATCTAGATATTCCATATATACATCGTTAAAAGGAGCTATTGCGTTTTGTATTAAAAATTGTGTAAACTGGATTATGATATCGTCGACTGTATTCTGTTGTTCTTTGAGCTGGTTAATCTTTCTTTGGAGCATTTCTATATGATCTTGTTTGTCCTTTTGATCTATTTCATTTTTTAGGATTTTATTTTTTATATTTTCATCAGTTTCCTTTGAATATTCAGATATGCTCTTATAAAAGGTCGTTTTATGACTTCTTGCATGGCAGCCACAGGATCTACAGTTTCCAAACATCATAGCTCCACTATGCTTTAGCATAAAAATATTTAAATCTTTCCATTTAACATGACAATTCTCAATTGTTATATTGATATTTTGTACCTTACAATTGTTATTTGTGCATACAACTCTGGGTCGTTCCAATCGCGTCAACTTAAGCACTATACGTGGAACATACAGCTTATTTTTAAGCTCTTCGTCGGTTAAGTTGGAACTTTGTATTTCATCTTTTAGATTATTAACTTCAGAAATATTTTCTTGGATATTACGATTTATTTCTGCAAGAGGTTCGCAAAGTATCATCACAGTTTGTCTTGCGTTGTTAAGCGATACAGTATCAATTATTTTATGAGGTGTACAATTTGAAATATATTGAAGGAGTCTCACTAATTCCTTCGCAGATTTTTCCCAACTAGATGCGAAGTTTTTCTTTTCATCATCTGTAAATTTTATTCCTTTCTTATTTGCTGCTAGAAACCTAAATGGCTCATTATCAAAACAATATTGTGTATCTTTACAAACTTTTATTTCAATACCTGATTTGCTTTCAAGTTCTTTGAGTTGTTTATTCAGCACTGGTAATGTGTATCCTGGTCGAAAGAATGTTCCTCTGGTGTTAGTAAAGCAGAAGATAATATTATCTTTAGCATTTTTATGAAGGTGTGATAATAATTCTTGTATACAAAATCTAAATATTACATCCAATCGTGAATTGTTAGGTTTAAGGAGTATGCAAATCCCATTCAGATGGGCGTGGTAATTTATATTCTTTAAGATATTTTCAAAATTTTTTTTATCATATTCAATCCCTCTAGTATCTCCTACCCCGGGTGTATCGATTAATCTTATAACTTTATTTTCAGCTACCGGAAACACGTAGATACCACATTCTTTAGTACATGACTCGCCTACATTATCCTTCATTTCATATTCGTCATCATCATCATCATCACTGGCTACTATTATCGTTTTTGTTTCGTAATCCTCGTTTGTTATCGTAAATCTGGATGTAATTAATACATCAACCTTGCCAGAAATTGCATCATCTAAATTATTAAATTTAGAATAATTTGCAAAGGCATTTATAAATGTGGATTTTCCTGTACCAGTTTCACCGAGTAATAATATATTTATTTCTTCTCGCGGAGCTACTGATGGTAAAAATTCAACTAATATATTTTGATCAAAAGGAATGTAACTACTAATGTGAAGTGAACTACTACACTTAAATTTGCAGTGATCAATTTTATTTTCCCCACAACCACAGTATAAGTGTTTGTTGTACCCATATTCTATATACTGTTCGCATCTGATACAAATCCATTCACATTTTAAGGGTAAACAACCATTTGTTAATGAACAGGGGCAAGGTACCATCAGCCGCTCTTTTTTACTAGGACTATAATTCGGTTTAGTAAATGGTAAAGTACTAAATTTAATAATATTTGATGTGAATAACGTTTTTTTATCATTATAATAATCGTTACTATTTAATTGTCCGTTAATATAATGGTGAATAACTGGATGATCGGGTCTATCTGTTCCTTTGTATGATGTAGGATCGGCTATAAAGAACTTGCTCGGCTCCTCATTTATACTGGGTATTTTTAAAAATGCACTCCACACTGGCGAATCGATATTAATAATATAGTTATCAGTGTCAAATAATATATAAATATGATTTTTTTGATGTTCTAATAAAATTTTATTAATAGTTAAATTCTTATTAAGATAATCTATTCCTCTCGCGTTTAGGATAGGTAATAGGTCTGCTTTCATAGAAACTGATTTATACTTATTAATAAATGATGTAATTGAGGTTACTGATAAGACACTTTGTTGAAATTCTTTTATTTTATTTTCAAGCTCATTAAGATTATCTTTACCGGATCGTATATCTATAAGACATTTCGAGAGCATAGCGGGCTTTCATCGTAATTGGCCAATTTTTGTAGATCATCCCGTGATGTTGTAAAAATTTGATTGGTTAAT